GCTGTGCAGCAAGGCACACTGCTGTGGGGCCTTGGGCCTTCTCTTGGAAGTTCTGGGTCTGTCTGGTCCAGCTACAGTTTGTTAGGTAATTTTCAGATTGCAAAGGGCCAGGCCTTTCATATGCAAAAGCCTCTGTCCGCAGCTTGGGTGGGGCAGGGTCTCAGGGGATCAACAGGGCGGAGCAAGCAGCTATGGCTGATTCTCAGCCCTGCCTAAGGGGCTCCACATCTCAGTGTCCCGGTAATCGGTAATCGCCGCAAGCACCTCTGAGAGAAAGCCGCCCTCGAGTTCTGACCGATGCCAGACAGTCCAGTTTCTCTCCGTATGAGTCTGGTCCACAGAAACTCACCTGGAACGGGGGTTCAGAGCAGTTGGGAGCTTGAGACTCCCTCCTGATTGAAAAAGACAACCGTGTCCTCAGTTGCCAGCCCTTTCCATGTGCGCCTCCGGACCTCTGCACTTCCGCAGCTCCTCTGAGTCTCAGTGTGCTTTTCTCTTCCCTTGTAGTTGTAGAATTTCCACTCAGCCAGCCTTCCTGTGGTTCTGGATGATGTCCGTTTTGTCTTTTAGTTGTTTTTTTGAAGTGGTTGTGCGAGGCAGCAATTTCCAGTGTTTACCTATGCCGCCATCTTTGTTTTCCTGTATTGATAATTCTTAACCTGAATCAATTATTTCATTAGAACTTGCAAAAGAGTGATTTTTAAAAATTCTATCATTTCTTCTACACTTTTAATGATATTCTTCTGTGAAGAGATGCTCTTCTCTATCCACTTGGGCTATCTGATCACCTGAAATACATTTCCTAGTGGAAATGTAAAGACAGGATGGATTCTTATTCTTTCCCTCCATTGATTTGCAGAGCTAGCATTTGGGGCAGAAGCCAGTTGCAGTGGTGACAAAGGAATTTTATTTTTGGTTTTGTCTCTTGTTTAGACTCATTTTTATATTAAATAATGTTTTAATCAGCTACAGCCATTCTTTGTGTGCTCAAATTGTCCCAACATCTTCAAGCTGCCTTTTATGTGCTTTTGATATGATTGCATTTACCTTTAAATTCTGGCTCCAAAGATAATTTACCTTTTTTTTTTTTTTTTTTTTTACCTTTTATAATGTACTAGAGGCCCGGAGCACGAAATTCATACACAGGGGAGGGAGGTCCCTCAGCCCAGCCTGCACCCTCTCCCATCCTGCACCCTCTCCAATCGGGACCCCTCGGGGGATGTCCAACTGCCTCTTGCAATCTGGGACTGTTGGCTCCTAACCACTCGCCTGCCTGCCTGCCTGATCGAACCTAACTCCTCTGCCTGCCTGTCTGATCACCCCTAACTGCTCCCCTGCCAGTGTGATGCTCCTAACTGCCTCTGCCTCGCCTCACACCTGGGACCCAGGATTCCATCCTTCAGCTGGTTGGAGGCACCTGGGACTCAGGTCGGCTTCGCCTGGGCTGGCTGCAGCCACAGGGGACTGTGGGCAGGCGGCTTTGCCTGGGCCACAGCCACAGGTGCGGGCTCCTGGGACTTTGGGGCGCCAGCTTGTCCCTCTCCCAGGCTGCAAGCACAGCTGCTGGCACCCGGGACCATGGGGTGGGCGGCTTGTCCCTCTCTGGGCTGCAGGTGCAGCCACTGGCACCTGGGACCATGGGGACTGTGGGATGTATGGATTGTCCCTCTCTCAGGCCGCAGGCACAGGTGCAGCCGCTGAACCCAGGACCATGGGGTGTGCAGCTTGTCCCTCTCCCAGGCTGTAGGCGCTGGTGCCCGGGACTGTGGGGTAGGCGGCTTCCTCTCCCAGGCCTCTTGTCCCTCACTCGGGCTGCAGCTGCAGGCGCTGGTTCCCAGGACCACAGGGCGGGCGGCTTTTCTCTCTCCTGGGCCACAGGTGCAGCTGCTGCCACCCAGGACCGCAGGGACCATGGGGCATTCAGATTGTCCCTCTCCTGGGCCGCAGGCACAGCCACTGGTCCCCGGGACCGCAGGGCGGGCAGCTTGTCCCTCTCCTGGGTCGCAGCCTGTCTGGTCTCCATTCCTCTCTCATGAGCTCATTTGTGTCTGCCTGGTCCCCATTCCTCTCTTGCGAGCTCATTTGTCCCTGGCTGGTCCCCATTCCTCTCTCCAGTGTTGAGTGTCTGAGCCATTAAGGTGTGAGGGCGTGATGACTATTTGCATATTAGCTCATTATATAGGATACTGTAAAGTACAAAATATCTGTATTTTCATGTAAGTAGTAAATATTCATTTGAAATTCTATTGTATACACAAAATGAAAGAAAAGAATAACATGCTTTTACTTAGTTCATGTATCTAAATTTTGTTTTCAAATTTTGTGATATTTCTGTTTATGTGTACTTCTAAATTTACTGTTCTAATTTGTAGTGAACATTTCCTTTTTACATTCAATATATTAAAAACACCGCACAGAATAGTATGTCATATAATGGAAAGAGTTTTATAAAATCTTAGAGGCCTGGTGCACAGATTGGTACCCCGTTGGGGTCCCTCAGCCTGGCTTGCACCCTCTTGCAATCTGGGATCCCTCAGGGGATATCAGAGAGCTGGTTTCAGCCCAGTCCCTGCAGGCCAGGTCGAGGGACCCCATTGGTGCATGAATCGTGCACCAGGCCTCTAGGATGCATGTAAGATCTTTGATTAATCTCTTCCCTCTCTACCCCCCTTCCTCCCTTCCCTCTGAGATTCATCAGTCTGTTCCATGTTTCCATGCCTGTGCATTGACCATCTGCCCCCTGATGGTCATTGCATATCATAGTGGCTGGCCGGTCACTTAGGCTTTTATATATATAGATGAGATAGCAGGCAATATTCTCTCAGCAATGTAAAACTTTATCCTACTTGAATTTCAAAGCTCCCCATTATAATAATCTGAATCTTCAAAAATTGAATATTATAATGCTTACTAGAGGCCTAGTGCATGAATTCGTGCAAGGGCGAGGTCCAGCTGGCCTGCCACGATTGGGGCCAATTGGGCTGGGCCGGCTTGGGGGAGACCACGGGCGGCTGGCTGGCTGCCTTGCCCCCTGATCGATCTTCTGGTCGAGGGGACAGTGTACATATTAGCCTTCTATTATATAGGATATGTAAGCCAAGATGGTGAACCTGAACTTATACTGGACACAGTACAGGGTGGGGTAAAAGTAGGTTTACAGTTGTAAGTATGCAAAACAGAGTTTATTCTTGTATATTATGTATTAATTATTGTATTATTTTCCCATATGAACAACTGTAAAACTACTTTTGCCCCACCCTTTATATCTGGTTAAGAAATTTTTCTCTAACAAGTATCTTGAACCCGAACCTGATATAGGTGGATGGTTGAATTCATTTAGAATTGAGATTGTTCCCAGTGGTGTGACAAATTCAAAGGACAATAGCGTTTAGTGCCCTGTAAGAGTGACATGGTGACTTTTGGATTCTAAGTTTTATCTGTGTCATGGACCAGGGATCTCAATCAATGGCATGGAGGTTGAAGAGCCAGAAGTGAGCCAGAAGGATTGAAGAACATACCTGATCATGGGAATCTCTAAATTTATATTTTAGAAGTGGCACATTTTTAGTGATGTACCTGAGGCAGGGAATGTTCTAGCTAAAGTTTGTTGAATAAACGAGTGTCAGGTTCAGGGAATGACTAAGAGAATGTATTTGGGGAGATTGTCAGTTACGATGAAGTGGCAAGAAAGTGACAGTTAAATATGAATCAAATCTGGATGATATGGAAATGATCGTGCCAAATTAAATTAACTTTGTAATGTGATGTATTAGTTGATTTGCCTGAATGATATTAACATTAAATTATGAAGACACATCAGAGGGATATGAGTACAGTGATTTGAGAAGCAGATTACACTGCTCTTTTACTCAATAACTTAAAATTGATTTGTGGGGCCAACTTAGTCAGAATATATACTAATAGACTAGTTTAATTGTCTTTCTTCTTTCTTTAAGAAAGTCTTACCTGTCCAAAAGGCAGCTTCACGAACTTTATGCATTTTTCTACGTTATAATCGTAAACAAGAACAGAGACTTGAGGTCATTCAAAAATTAATTGAACGTGAGTAATCATTGTCCATTATTTTGAAAAAAGGTAAACAAAGTAGTTGGTCTTAATTATCTCTGACTTATGTATCATTTTGCCATGAGTAGTTAAGCTGATGTTGGTAATACCTAGAGTGTTTGTGTTTGAGTCTTACAAGTAATTTTTAGTTTGTTTTAGAAATTTATATGACAGGATCAGAGCTGTGATGAATGAAAGTAATTATTCTGGGCCTTTTTTTGTGTGTGAATTTCTGCAGTCAAGAACTTAAAATATGTATACTTTTGTTGAAAGCCTAGTTTCTCCCCTAATGAAAAATAATTTGAAACTAAAATATAAAAAGAATATCCATGTATCTAAGCATTTATCTTTCTATTTTCCATATTAACAGTGAGGTTTTTTTTTTTTTTAATAGAGTTGAATAAATGTGAATCTGTGAGTCTAGGTGGCTTATAACGTGTTAAAAATTAAGTCAATTAACAAATGTAAATTTATTTTAATTTGCTATGGGCCAAAATCAAGACAAAAACCTTTAGTGCAGCGGTTCTCAACCTGTGGGTCGCGACCCCTTTGGGGGGCTAACGACCCTTTCACAGGGGTCGCCCTAGACCATCAGAAAACACATATATAATTATATATTGTTTTTGTGATTAATCACTATGCTTTAATTATATTCAATTTGTAACAATGAAATTGGGGGTCACCAGAACATGAGGAACTGTATTAAAGGGTCGCGGCATTAGGAAGGTTGAGAACCACTGCTTTAGTGGACGTGTTAATTCTAAAAATAGTGGCCTACATCTGTATCTACTTAGCGAATTTGTTAATTATTGTATACTTACTTTGATAATCATGTTTTTAAGCTTTTATTAAACTCTTGTCCAGTATAGGCAGGTAAAGAGATTTTCTGGTTATTAGAGTTTACCATTTTAAGTATAGATTGCTGCTTTTCAAAACGTTAGAGTACATAAAATTTCATTTATGAAGTTATGCTTAGTATACTTTAATGTTTCATTTTTTAGTCTATTTTAATTTCATTTTTATTTTTCATTGGGTAGGACCTTACATTTAAAATGTTTTATTGATTTATTTTTATTGATTGACTTTAGAGCGAGAGAGGAGAAAAGAGAAACATAAATTTGTTATCCCACTTATTTACATATTCATTGGTTGATTCTTATATGTGCCCTGACTGGGGGTCAAACCCACAGCCTTGGTGTATGGGCACCATGCTCTCACCCATGAGCTACTTGGTCAGGGCTAAAATTTTTTATTTTAAAAGAAGATTCTATTTTGGTTTTAAATATTAAAAATGTTGCCTTTGAACATTTATATAATAAGGGAGAAAATTATTTTTTTAATTTGATACGAATTATTTTAATTTTGTAATTTAATAATATTGTATTTACATATGACTATTCACTTCAAAGTATTTTTAAGGAAACAAGGAAGAAAACAGTTAATTTGGTTGCTGAAAGGTTTTGAAGTTATACATATCTGCACTTAACCTGCTCTGCGACTGTAATGTCTTTGAACCTCAGTATCTTTATCTTTTAGGAGGGATAATTATGTGCTTATCCCATTGGATTGTTTTCCAGGATTGAAGGAGACAATATGTTTAAAGCACTTAGCACATAGTGGGTGATCAAAAATAGTAGATGTAGTCATTCAATATTTACTAAATGCTCATGGGATCGAATGCAATGTTTAATAGATTTTTTTCTGTTTTTTGAGGTATTATTAACTTGGGAGGGTCTACAAACCTGGGGTATATAATATGATTTTTTTCCTTTTATCTCTTGCATTTGCTAAATAAATTGTGGGTTTAAAGAAATGTGCCACGGATTTTGTGTCTGATTCTGTCATGTATTTTCATGTAGGAAAAATTAAACTTATGTTAATTTTTTGGTTTTGTTTTTAGAACTGGGCCAAGGAAAAAGTTATTGGAATAGACTTCGATTTTTGGATACCTGTGAATTTATTATAGAGCTCTTTTCCAAATCATTTTTCTGTAAATATTTCTTTCTACCTGCTATTGAACTGACACATGATCCAGTAGCAAATGTGAGGTATGGTTATCAATCCAATAAAATATTTGAAAAATGTATTTTAATGTATCTACTATAATGAATATATGCAAAATGTTATAGTCAATTAAAAATTCAAGTAGAGAATTTGTATTAGCTTTGGAATTCTTAGTGAACAGGGGTAGGGCTGCTGTGAAGGCTTTTTCTTGTCTTTCCAATGTTCAGTTGTCTTGCATTTTTGAAACCCAATAGATGTTATTTGCAGTTGGTTAACTGTTTGATTAGAGGGTACAGGACTGGAAATGGCTCGCTTGGAAATTGAAAAAAGTAATAGATGTATTTTGCCTTTTTTCCCCATCCCAAAATAAGCATATTATTTCTTTCTTTTAATTGTGGTAAAATATGTAACATAAAATCTACCATTTTTAGCATTTTTAAGTGAATAGTCCAGTGGCATTCATACACGCATACTCTTCTAGTTATTTGTACAGTGCATAATGAGTTGAAGAGAACTTTAGCCCGTCAGCCATTAGATATCTGTGTTTTATGCGCCATGTCTCTGTTCGGAACTTGAGGACCTCAGGTCTGGAGGGGAGACACAAATTCAGGTGGCCAAGATCTCCCTGAATAGAAGGACTCCTGAACTCCCTGCTGGGTTTTCACATGCTACCCACTTAGTCTATGCTGTGTGACATGTGCAGCTTTTATAATGAACTCGCGTGAATTGTAGGCAATATTATAAAACTAACAGGAAGAATTGTCAAGGCAGTAAACATGGGGTGGCTGTTGAGAGAAAATATACAAGAAGAACTGCCAAAAGATGTTGAAAAGTTCAACCTGAGAATTTTGAGATCATTGTTTAGGGGAACATCTCTAGAGATTGGCTTCGTCTTGAATTTGTGTGTGAGAACACACAGAAAGCACTGCTGCATCGGCTTCAGTAGTTTGTGCATCTCCTTTCTGCTATGTAAGTGAGAGGCGCGGTTTCCTTAGAGTAAATTTAAAGAACTGTTGATAATTCTTTAGAATTTAGCTCTTGCTAAAGAAGTAATGGATCTGACCATATTATTAACATTTTGAAAATTGAAGTTGTGATTCTAGAAAAGTGGCTTTCAATGAGATGAACTATCATCAAGAAGTTGACAAAAATTATTTGAAAGGAAATGGAATCATCTCTCTCTGGGCAATGGGACTAATCATATAGCATTGGCGCTAAGGGAAAGCAACCTGCCAATGCAAAAGCCAAGTGCAGATTAATTGAATATTGCTCTATGAATGGTGATGATATTTGTGGGTAAGAGCTCACTGAATAGCAGGAAGTCTTGGTTCCCACTTCCTGCCTAGGTGGCCGCCAGCCCCTCAGATGGGTCCAGCACCACCTTGTACTAACTGGTTTTGGGTACAAAAGCCTTTGCCCAGTGCTATAGAGATTGCAGATAGAATAGGAGCCATCACAGGCAAGGGTGGTAGGGTCATGCAGGTTAGGAGGAGAGTTTCTGGAGCTACTGCCTAAGCTGATACCCAGCCCTGTACTGGCTGTGTGTCTTTGGGCAAGTTACAAAACCTCCCTGTGCCTCCATTTCCTTAGTACCTACTTCATAGGGTGTTCTGAGGAGTACAGCAGAGATAATGTACATAAAGAGTTTAGTTTACCAGAAAGGTGTTGTCCCTAATCTCAAAGTCTTCATAATATCATGGGCCCAGGATTCTCATAGAGATAAGTCATTACTGTAGTTTGTATAACTTCTGCTGAATAAATGTTTTCTGACCTGACTTGGGTTATAAAGAATGAAATGTGCATATACTGTATTTTATTCCCACCATTAAGTGAGTGTTTAAAATTTAAATTCACTGAGTCATTATCAAGGCTGGTAAAATATTATTGGTATTCAAAGAAGCCTTCTCCTGAGCTATGAGAAGTGAGAAAAAATCTCTTTGGGGGACTGAGACCCCTTATTGGAGAATGCATCACAAGACTTAACAGCATGCCTGATGAGCTCTGAATGAGATGGCTGTCGACAGAGCTGGAAACGCTAGAGGAGGAGCGTGACTCTTTTTGGTTGAATAAAGAACAAATTTTGTTGTATGAGAAGAATCCTTAACTGAGGGTTCAGCTGACAAAGCACCCTGAAATCTCTAGGCAGGGGACTTAGCTGTCTCCAGGCTCGGCACAGAAATAAAAATAATGTCTGGAGAGCACTCAGCTGGCTAAATGAAAACAGCAGCCATAGAACAGACAGCTGCCCAGCATCCCTCTCTAAGTCCGGCCACAGAGCTTGAGCCCAGCCAAGCAGAGCTTCCTCTGCCTGCCTGCTCCCAGGCAGCTTTTCTGCACCTTCCTGCCTGTCCTCTCACCTCTTGGCGCTCTTCAGTCTGCTTGTCGCTTCCTTATCAGCCTGATCTAGACCCACTGTGCCCTAGACATTACCCTTTTATCTCGTCTACTCAGGCTGCACCCTGGCTTGCAGATCATCCATATGCTGACAGTCCTGACTGTCTCTCCAACATGGACACCTGCCCCGAACAGAAGACTTACTGAATCAACTGCCCACTTAACATGTCCACTAAGTATGTAATAGGCACCTCTGACTTAATGTGTCTCAAAGTAAACCCTCATCTTGCTCCTGAGGTCTTCTCCATCCCAGTAAATAACCATGTCATCTTTCCCGTAGCTCAGGTCAGAACCTTCACTCCTTTCTGTCATTCCACTGCCAAGCCCTCAGCACACCCTGCTGCTTGCACAGTGTATTCAGAACCCAACACTTCTCACCACCTGACTGCCATCATCTGGTTCAGGCACGCCGTTCTTACTTGAATTGCTGAAAGGGCCTCCCCTGTGGTTTCCTTTCTCCTGTCCTTGGCCATCTGCAGTCTAACTCAGCACAATAGCCAGACGATACTTTCAAAACCTCAGTCAGCCCTGGTTGGTTTGGCTCAGTGGATAGAGCCTCGACCTGTGGACTGAGGGGTCCTGGGTTCGATTCTAGTCGGGGGCGTGTGCCCAGGTTGCGGGCTTGATCCCTAGTGGGGGATGTGCAGGAGGCAGCCAGTCCATGATTCTCTCTCACTGATGTTTCTATCTCTCTCTCTCTCTCCCTCTCCCTCTCTGAAATAAAAAAAATATAACAAACAAACAAATAAAACCCCTAAGTCAGACAATTTAACTCCTTTGCTCAAACCTTCCCTGGCTTCTCATTGCACTTAAAAGCCAGTCTCGGAACAGTGGCCTGCAAGGCCCTGGATGAGCTGGCCTCCTACTGCTGCTCAAAGATCTGCTAATCTCATCTTTGCCCCATTCTGTCCTCTCATCCAATTTGCCAATTTGGGCCAATTTGTTAATTTGGGACAGCACCTTGGTAAGCTCCCCCTACAGGACATTTTCTCTTACTGCAGGTACTGCCTGTAATGTTCAGGTATTCATGTGACTAATTCCCTCATTGATTTATTTTTTTTAGGTCTTTGCTTAAATGTCATCTTTTCAGTGAAACCTTCACTGCAACCCTCTCTGACCACCTGTTTTAAAATTGTAACTTCCCTCCTCTGGTTCTCCCCTGTTTTCTATCCCATGTAATTTTTCTCTACAGCACCTACCACTATCTAACATTTTACTTTGTTTGTCCTCCCTCCCTCCCCTCATGCTAGCATGTAAGCTCCATGACACCACAGGATTTGCTGCTCTTATTCACCATTGTGTTGCAGCACCTGGAATAATGAACGCTCAACTCATTCTAGGCACTCCATGAGCATTTGTTGCATAATAAATAAACTCTTAGGCTACCTACAACTTGGGTTTTTCTTTCAGTTTTATGTCACTATTATTATATACAGTTATTAAATTTAAGTTATACATTTACACACCAGTAAATAGTATTTAATTTATTATAGAATGAAACTTTGCTACTTGTTGCCCAAAGTGAAATCTACTCTGAAGATCCCTGAAGATAAACATCTACTTCAACAGTTAGAAATGTGCGTGAGAAAACTTCTATGTCAAGAAAAAGATAAAGATGTTCTGGCTATTGTAAAAAGAGTAAGTCTCATGCTGGCCACAACATTTGTATTTCTTGCATTAAGACAGTCTTTATTAGCCCTGGCTGGTGTGGCTCAGTTAGCTGGGCATTGTCCCGTGTACCAACAGGTTGTCAGTTTGATTCCCGGTCAGGGCATGTGCCCAGGGTGGGCTCAAATCCTGGTTGGGGGTGTGTAGGAGGCACTGATTGATGTTTTGATCTCACATCACTGTTTCTCCCTCTCCCTCTCACTTTTAAAATCAATAACCTATTTTAAAAAAAGGATAATCTTAATTATATCTTCACTGTTTTAGCTTGATGGGATGGCACTATGTTAAAATCTTTATATCCTTGCTAGTATACTAAGAATTAGAAACTGATTTGGTTGATGTGTGCTACAATTGGACATGAAAGTCGGCACTCATTAGATATTATTAGTAAAGGGTGTCCCAAAATTCACGCAAGAAGTAATTTTGATAGAAAACACAGGCTTATAATAAAAATTGTAAATTTTTTATTGATTCATAAAGTATACAGTATAGGGTTATGTACGGAATAGCATATCAGGTAAATGGCCTCCACGGCTTTGCTGGCACATACGCACTCTTTTGTTATTGCCTGAGCAGCCGCATTTTCGAAGAAGAATGGTCTGATGATGTCTAACCCTATACTATATACTTTACGAATCAATAAAAAATTTACAATTTTAATTATAAGCCTGTGTTTTCTATCAAAATTACTTCTTGCGTGAATTTTGGGACACCCTTTAGTAATATAAGCTCCACAGGAGAGAGCTTGGCACATTTTTGGTGCTCAATAAATGCTGTTTAACTAGTAATGAATACTTCATTCACCAGACCTTATTTACAAGCAATTATAATCTGGGAAAGCTTTGTTGGTAAAATGGAAAAGGCACATTTGATAGACATTTAGCCATGGAGGGGCCCTCTGCAGTAATTCAGTGTGTGTGACTTTACAGAAGGTCTAGACCTAGAGATATTAAGTGTCTGCTTAAGATCATATTAGTAAGGGACAGAAATAGGACTAGAGTATAGATCTCTTACTCCCAAGAGCATCCTTTTTTCAATAAAGTAACATTGTGTCTTAGGGTTTTTGTTTTGTTTTAGTGTGTGATCTTATTATCGGGATTGTTTGGGAATGTTGGAACACTAAAACAGTCAGAATTTTGATTTGTGAAGTCAAACCTTAACCCTTTGAGTGCCAACCAATATCCTAGAACTATGCTAAAATTGCCAAGGCATTTTTGCTGATTTTACAGCAGTTTAGGGAAAAAATTATGAATTGCAAGTAAATGAAATTACATATTCAAAAATCACTACAAACATTCGGCATCATAAGTAACCTGCACTTAGGTGCCATCTGTCAATAAAGAGTGAACTACTAGCATCTAATAGTGACACTGCAGGAGGAGCGCGATCGCGTTCCCCGTCACTCTAGGGGTTAAAATACTTTAGCCTTCAAAAACTCTATATGCTTGCCGCGACCGGTTTGGCTCAGTGGATAGAGCATCGGCCTGCGGACTGAAGGGTCCCGGGTTCGATTCCGGTCAAGGGCATGTACCTGGGTTGCGGGCACATCCCCAGTGGGAGACTTTTTGCTCAACCGTTTGACCAGTCGCTATGACACACACTGACCATCAGGGGGCAGATGCTCCAGCCAGTAGGTTAGCTTGCTGCTGGGGTCCGGCCATTCGGGACTGGGCAAGATGGGCCGGACATGTCCTGGAGCCCTCCTGTGGTCCCTCCCCAGCCCCAATTGTGCACCGGTGGGGTCCTTTGGCATGGCCTGCACCCTATCACAATCCGGGACCTCTCCGGGGATGTCAGCTGGTTTCAGCCCAATCCCCACAGGCCAGGCCAAGGGACCCCACCAGTGCACGAATCCGTGTACCAGGCCTCTACTGTTTTTATAAGATTAAGTCAAATTAAAGTGATTGCTTTTTGCCCTAGCTGGTTTGGTTCTGGATAGAGCTTCGGCCCAGGACTGAAGGGTCAGGGGTTCAATTCTGGTCAAGGGCACATACCTCGGTTAATCCATGTGTCTCTGTCGAATCAGTGCTTCTCTCTGTCTCTCCCTTTCCTTCCTCTTGCTCTAAAAAATCAATGGAAAAATAGCCTCGGGTGAGGATTAACAACAACAAAACAGTGGTTGCTTTTATGACTCTGAATGTGAACTTCAGGACACATAGTTTTTGAGAATTTATTTGTAGTGAGAGAAATTGATTTATTAATATCTTAAATAATGGCATTTATTTGAGAAAAAGAAGAATTCTTTGTTTGTGATTTTTTTCCCCTAGAAATAATTTCCAGTGTCACATGAGGAACTTTTTAATGAAGTGACTTGATAACTTTGTATTAATTAGTATAATTTTATTTTACTGAGATGTGAATTCCTTTCCATCAACTGAAATAACCAGAAATAGCCAGCACCTGGACATGTATCTAAATTTAAACACACACACACTTACACTTGTTTCTATCAGATATTTCTGACCTTGCTATTTAATTACAGAAGTTTAGGCAATGAAGTTAACATGCCAAAATAGTACATGAGAGGGTTAGCTACTTTTCTGAAAGAATCTGTTAGCTTAAGATAATATAAATTAACCCCATAAATAGGTACAGAAATGATATAATTAAATCAATGGATTATTCTGGAATATTTCTCTTATTTTGAGTATGCAGTCAATCTTTCCCATCAAAATTCTGTAGTACAATGTTATCATACTGAGGTGTTGGTATGGGAACCTTTGAGAGAAGCTACACAAAGCTTCCGGATAAACATGGAATAGCTGACTCTTGTCAGTTTTTTAAGATGGGAAATAACTTTATTTAAAAGATATTTCATGGGATAAATTTTCAAATTTTTATAAATTTCAGCATAAAAATAAAATTTTAAATATATGTTTGCAATGAATAGCATTGGCTTATGAAAGTGTAGATGTACTTTATTTTGGCCACTAGAGAGAAGTACTCTACTCTGTCAGAGACAGAGCCGTGGGGTGAATGGATCATTGTTAGATTGAAATAGCTGGTGTCAGACTAATATATTCTGAAAGACAAATATTACATTGAGAGAATGCTTTCAGAATAAAGTCTTTTCTATTGGTTAGAGTGTCATATTGATAAAAAGTTTATGTGGGAAGGAAAGGAATTAAGAATTTTAAGCCAAAGGATAGGTTATATATATTTAGCTAAAAGGTTTTTATAAAGTTCAGAAATTATACTGTATTTCTGAAAATTCAGAAGAGTGGCACTGAGAATTATTAGAAATTAGTTAAATTGCATATGTTTAGTATTTAAAATATTCCTCTAGACTTGCTCTTCTTTCATTTTTTCAAAAAAATATTTTTATTGATTTCAGAGAGGAAGGGAGAGGGAGAAGGAGAGATAGAAACATCAATGATGAGAGAGAATTGTTGATTGGCTGCCTCCTATTCACCCCACACTGGGGAATCGATCCTGAAACCCCGCATCTGCCCTGACCAGGAATTGAACTGTGACCTCCTGGTTTATAGGTCAGCACTCAACCACTGAACCACACTGGCCAGGCGTAGACTTGCTCTCCTTAAAGTAAAAAACTTTAAAAGTTTTAATAGAGCCTGGCATTAAAAATATAGAGATTGATGAAAAATAAAAAATACAATGTAGAATTGGGAAGAACTTTAAAAGGTTTCTAACTTAACCTTATACATAGTGTAGAAGTCTCCTATTTGAAACTCCCTCTGGAAAGAGTCTTTTGTGAAATGATGGTTGATTTTATTACTGTTGAATATTTTAAAAACTTTCTTTACAGACTGTGTTAGAGTTGGACAGAATGGAAATGTCTATGGATGCTGTAAGTATACTCTCTTGCTTTTATTCTTAAAAGTTGACATACACTCATTATTAATGTTCCACAGTTTCATTTTAAACTTAAACTTAGTTTCAGAACAAGTTTTATGAGAAAGATTTGTTGGATCAAGAGAAAGAAAGAGAGGAACTGCTTCTTTTGGAAATGGTATGTTATTTTCACATGCACACACACGTATTTTTTTCTGACCAATATTAAATATGCTTTGTTATTAAACCTATTAAATAATTTCTTTCAATTTTACACTACTCTTTTTCTTCCTAAATCACTAAAAAGTCCTGATCTTTTTTTTTTTTGTTATCCTCACTGGAGGATATTTTTTCCATTGATTACTAGAGAGAGAGAGTGGAAGTAAGGGAGGAGGGGAGAAAGAGAGAAACATCAACATGAGAGAGATACATTGATTAGTTGCCTCTGGCATTTGCCTCTACCGGGGTCAGGGAACCTGCAACCACAACTGAGGTATGTGCCCTTGACTGGAAGTTGAACCCACAACCCTTTGGTCTGACGCTCTAACCACTGAGCAACGAGCCAGGGCAAGAGTCCTGATCTTTTGATATCTGTTATTTTATGAACTATAAGGAAAATGATATTTGAAAGACTTTAAAAACTATTTTATTTAAGTATTATTGACATACAATTAACTGCATATATTTTAGGTGTACAATTTGAGAAATTTTAACATGGGCATATCTATGAAACCATCACCACAATCAAAGCACCAAACATTTTCATTCCCTTAAAGGTTTCTGCATGGCCCTTTATGATTCATATCTTTTACGCCAGACCCCAGAAAACATTACTCTAGTTTCTGTCACTACAAATTAGTTTGCAACGAGAATTTATATAAATTTAATAATATGCATGTGATTTTTTTGTCATGCTTTTTCCATCATCATAATTTATTTTGATATGAAGTTTAGGATCAGTTTGTTCATTTCTATAAAAAGCCTGCTAGAATTTTTGTGAGGATTGTGTTAGGATTGATCTACAGATGAATTTGGAGAATTGCCATCTTAACATGAGTCTTCCTAATTCATGTACTATGTCTACCCCTCCATTTATTTAGCCTCCTTTACTTTTTTAAAGTTTTATTTTATTGTTTAAAGTATTACATACAGTATTATAAAGGTCGCCTTTCCCCCCCATTAACCTCCCCCCCGGCCACCCCCACTCCCTAGCCTCCTTTACTTTTTCTCATAGCAGGGGTCCTCAAACAACGGCCCATGGGCCATATGCAAATACAAATATTGTATTTGCTCCCGTTTTGTTTTTTTATTTCAAAATAAGATATGTGCAGTGTGCATAGGAATTTGTTCATAGTGTTTTTTTAAACTACAGTCCGGCCCTCCAAACGGTCTGAGGGACAGTGAACTGGCCCCCTGTTTAAAAAGTTTGAGGACCCCTGTCTCATAGTGTTAAGTGTAGCATTCAAGGAAGTCTTTTGTTAGATTTATTTCTAAGTATATTATGTTTTTGGTATCATTACAAATGGAATTAAAATTTTTAATTTCACTTTCTAGTTCAGGATTAAGACTAAGAGAGCTCTAATATTTTTTAGGACTGAATCATTTATGCCTAAGAGAAAAATCAGGCAATAGAAAAAGACCCATAGATGATCCTGATACTGGAGTTAGCAGACAAGGACTTCAGGATAACTATGATTACTATGATCAAGATAATAGAGGAAAAGATAGAGGACATAGATAACACTACTGTTGGCAGATAACTCTTAATGATATTTTATTTTTCAGTTTTATATTTTTTATTTTCAGTTTTAGAATTTTCATTTGGTTCTTTTCATGCAATCCAATTCTATATGGAGATTTTGTTGTTGTTAATCCTCAACCGTGGATTTTTTTTTCATTAATTTTTAAACAGTGGAAGGGTGGGGGGGAGGGAGGGGAGAGAGGCGAGAAAGGGATGGAGGGGGGAGAGAGAGAGAGAGAGAGAGAGAGAAAGAAACACAGACAGACAGACATGATGTGAGAAAGACACATTGCTTGGTTGCCTCCCTCACATGCCTTGAATGAGGCCGGGTATTGAACCTGCAACCCAGGTATGTGCCTTTGACCAAGAATTGAACCCACAACCCTTTGTTGTGTGGTGGACTTACCAAACACGAAGCCACACCAGCCAGGGCTGTGTGGACATTTTTATCTTGTCTCTTTTCTTACCTTTTTCATTATTTCACAGGTGCACAGGAAAAGAATGTGTTCTCTCCAGTTGTTGAGTGTGGTGTTCTATATATATAGTTTGTTCAGAACTTGCCATGCTTGTTGATTTTCTTGCCTACTTATTCTATTGGGATAAGGGACACGAGTTTTGGTAATGTTTTATATCCTGATCTGTGAGCTGCTGTGGCTATATAGGTATGTTCATTTTGGGAAAATTTATTGAGCTGTACTCTTATAATTTGTGTACTTTCTCTATGTATATTATACTTCAATAAGACATCTTTTAACATGTCCCAAAGACCATTTCCTTTCTTCTCAGTCTTTTTAAAGAAAAACATTTTGCTCTGCCAGGTGGCTCAGTGGTTGAGCATCAGCCCATGAACCACGAAGTCCATGGTTCGATTCCCCGTCAGGGCACATGCCTGAGTTGCAGGCTTGGGGTGTGCAGGAGGCAGCCAGCCAATTGATGTTTCTATCTCTCTATCACTCTCCCTTCTCCTCTCTCTAAAATAAATAAAAACATATTTGAAAAAAAACAAAAAGCACTATTTTGCTATTTACCAATCAGAAATGGAAATGACTAATAGTAACAAATATTTTGCTAATGAGAATCAGTAAATACATTTTAGAAAATAAAGGCTCATTCCCATAGTGTTACTAAACTCCTTGTTTTAGCTTAACAAGTCCCCAAAAGCACAATTCTGGAGATGTAAGAAAACACACAAATCACAAATCTGAAAGAAACTGGAGACACTAATTTAGAAAAAAAATTACTTTTTAAAGAAAATTTTTTAAAATATATTTTTATTGATTTTTTTACAGAGAGGAATGGAGAGAGATAGAGAGTTAGAAACATCGATGAGAGAGAAACATCGACCAGCTGCCTCCTGCACATCTCCCACTGGGGATGTGCCCGCAACCCAGGTACATGCCCTTGACCGGAATCGAACCTGGGACCTTTCAGTCCGCAGGCCGACGCTCTATCCACTGAGCCAAACCGGTTTTGGCTAAAGAAATTTTTATAAACAATATTTTTATGTCTGGAACTTAGAGTAATTTTTCTTTAGAACATTTTTTAAATCTATGCTTACCTTTAATGCTCAGATACTATTTTAATAATAGGAACAATTAGAGAAAGAGAAGCAACAAGAGGGGAGGCCCGTGAATGAAAAAACCTTTGAAAAGAAACGTAAGTTGTTTTCTTATGTCTTCATCACTAAATCACACGATTCATGTTTCATCCTGGCATTCTGAAAGACCATGTTGAGTTACTAATTTTATATGGAAAATTGCTTTTAATTTTAAAAGTAGTTTTAAAAAACTGGCTGCTTAATGTTGTATGGATGTTAAGAATACATGAATAAGTGATGGGGATCAGTGTGGAGCTTCAGACCCTTCAAAGGAAAGTGATAGCAGCAATAAGAATGTGAAATTAAATCACTGAATAACTAAGGTTGAAATGTGTAAATAGGCAGAGTAAGACTATGTGGGAAAGAATGCTGCTTAGCAAGGGATAGTGTTTCATTTTTTCTGTGTTGTCTGTGTGTTTGTGGAGATGAATAAGAACCCAGAGGGCATGACAGCACTCAAAGCAGAGTTTATTTTAGGCAGAGACATCAAGACACCAACAGCTCTGCCCAAGAGCATCCCCATTGCTGTTCCTGGGCCCTCTTCCAGCACCCCGTCAGCAAGTAAGAGACAGCCTCTTGTGCCTCCTGTTTCCTTTTATAAACAGTAATTATAGGGCAAGTCACTCTCTTAGATGAGATACATTGTGCTAAAGCACCGTTTTCCTTCCAGTGTTTGTTTTGGTAGTTCTTATTGGACAGTTGGGATAAAGATAGCCCAATGGCTCAAACGAAGGAAAGGAAGCTAGCCCATCTGTGTTTACTGAAAACGGTGGGAGTGGGAGAGGGAACGGGCGTGGAGCATCTAAAGGTGAAGTGAACAATTACTTTCTCCTTCTGCTTGTTACTCTAGGCAAAGAAATCAAGAAATCCAAATTGATTCGAAGCCAGTCCATTAATAATCAAGCTTTTCATGCAAAATATGGCAACTTAGACAAGTGTGCTAGGTATGATCTGTCAGTTCTTACTGTTTGAATTTTTATTTTATAGTTATATCTTATTATATGTGAAATATTTACATTACTATAAAAATTAGCACTAATTTTGAGTTTTCTATAGGTAAATAATTTTTTTCTTCTGTAAAGACTGTTAAAAAAATAGTAGTCTACCAATTTGCATAAAAATATGTACTGGTATTCTAGGAAGACTACTGCCATGACAATATATAATGCCTTGCCCTGGCCAGTTAGTTCAGTGGTTAGCATCAGTCTACACACTGAAGGGTTGAGGGTTCAATTCCCGGTCAAGGGCACATAATTATCGTGAGGGATGGAATAGAAAGAATAAATGAGAAGTAGAAGTAACAAGCATGTTTCATAGGAAATAGGGGAAAGCATTTAAAAAAAGAGGATTTAGAAAGACCAAACGCTGGATGAATGGGATTGAAATAAACATGTTCTTGCATTTGAAACGTAATTATGTTCTTTTCCAGTAAAACTTCTACAGCAGCATATACACCTTCTGCCTCAGGGTTAGCAAAGACTTCTATGATTTCACTAACTGGTAAGTAGAAATCTGAGCGCCTCAAAGCATTGCTAAATTCAATGAAATATGATTTTCCTTAGATAATTTTTTTATTTCTAGATACTGTTTTTTCTAAATTTGTATCTTTATCAAATACCTATGAATTTTTTTTCTATCAATTGAGAAAATACTTGACTATACTATTTTGTTCTCACTGTATCAAAACTTAAGAGTTCTTTTAAAAGAGAAACAGGACAAAATGATAGGATAGGTTTTGCCACGGTCTGAGGACCTGCTGGAGGCAGAGAGTAAAATTTTTTGCAGTAATTAACTTAGTTAAAACACTAGGGCTTTCCTATAGATAATATACAGCTAAACATTTGCAATAGTATGTATGCCTTTGAAACTTTATACCAGGCGTCAGAAAACTCTGTTAGGAGGCCAGAGAGTCAATAGTTAGGCATAGAGGCAAATTGGTTTCTGTCACGAGGACTTACTGTGCCCTTGTGGGTAAAAGCAGCCATCGATGGCACATGAATGGGTGGCTGTGTCCCACTAAGACTACTCACAGTGAGCGCTCGGCTCAGCGAAGGGCTCACAGTGTCGAGTGCGCGGGGACATGGGCAGCGCTCCGCCCGCTCAGACACTGCTGGGGGCAGCCACAGGGAGCCGTTCCTTTGGACACCTTCCTGTGTGACCCAGCAATTCCACTCCTAGGCTTTGCCTGAAGAGAAATCAACACCTACATCTCCACACAGATTTGTACATGATTGTTTAGAGCAGCTTTATTCATCATAGTCAAAACTGGGGGAAAATCCAAATGTCCAGCAATAGGAGAATGGATAAACAAATTTTGACATATCCATACAATGGAATACCAGTCAGCTATAAAAAGAAATGAAGAATCGATATACATAACAACATGGATGAACCTCAACATAATTATGCTGAATGAGAGGAGCTAGACACAAAAAGGATACACATTATCTGATTCCATTTATATAAAATTCAGAAAATGCAAACAAATCCCTAACGACGGGAGGCAGAGGGACTGGGGAATAGAGGGAGCGATTACAGGGGGCAGGAAGAAACATTTGGTAGTGATGCAGTTTATTATATATAAACTGTACTCTAATAAGTTGATTTTAAAAGAAAAAATGTCCACTACCAATAAGCTTTCTTCTCCTAGGTTCCCAACTTAGTAAATGGAATATGTCTGACTATGCATGTGTTCCTTTCAGATGACTCATTCCGGACTCGTAATGCCACTAGTCTTCCTCCGTCCTTTTCTCCTAACACTCCCCTCCCCAGCACCTCCCGTGGGACAGGGAACTCAGTTGATCCAAAGAGCAGTGGAGGTAAAGATCTGCCACCACGTAAGGCCACCTTGTAAGTAGTCAGCGATGTACTAAGTGTGTCATCCTCCTCTTTTTCTCAGTGCACTTTCCTTCCCACTAATTTCCAAAGAACAGAAACTGTAACAGGAAATGTTCTAAATTAAAAGGGATTCTTAGCACACGTGCCTCTGTTACGTTGATACTTTATAAAATGACCTGTCTATGGCAAAGACACGGCAACGTAAGGACATCAACAAGAGACTTTAAATGGCTCCCACTAATATCTGAGATTTTAAAAATTTTCTGTGAAATGTTTGCCTTCAGGGACTTTATTCAAGACGACACTGGTGTAATTGCATCCCTTTGAATGGCTAGTGTAAGCGGACAGTGTTTCATGGCCCAGAGCTCAGAAAGATGGGCCCTGCTGCTACTTAAGCAATCTGCCTGCAGCATGGAGTCCAGATTGTGGGTCAGCATGTGGGAGAGTCCTGTCCACTGTACTTGTCCCTAACATTGAGGTTATAAAGGCCTGTCTCCTCCTTGCCCCCTGGGTTACTTTTATGTGCTGTTAATGTGTGTGTGAATCACTGAAGCCTTTGTTTCTGTTAGTTTAAACGTGGAAGAGGGTTGCCCCATAAGAACCATCCTGATGACAGACAGGTCATGTCACGTGGATGTGATTCGTCCAGGCTGCCCCAACTCTACTCACAGGTTTACTCTTTCCTACAGGATGCCCGAATCTTCTGATTAAATCAGAATTTAAACAGCATCCAGATGTCCTTTTAGACATATGTCACTGAATTCATGAATATTCTAATAAAGTTTCTGACATCCATCTTTTATTGGGAACTCCATGCTTTTAGGAACTGAACTATATTGTAACTTACTCTAAATTTCTAATTGCCCACCGGTATATATAAATATAGATGTATGTAAGATTCATTCAAACTTATGGAAAGGAGCTCAAGGAAAGAGTAGGATCATGTATCATAGAAAAAAGTAATAGGAAATAGAAAAAAATGATATTGAGATTACAAATTAGTAACGTTAATATAGAGGATAGTTTTATTTACAGAGAATGCTCTTTGGAACAGTTGCTCTAATGATTATACTGTGGTCGATCCATTTAAAAGTCATGAGGACTGAGCCAGAAGAGGGTCATGTCTGCAGAGAGCACGGAGCTTGAGCCTGTGCCCGCTCCAGGGCCGCTAAGCAGCTGTGGACGTTCCGCTTAGTGCTCTGGGCCTCATGTCTCGTCGGTAAAATGACAGGGTTGCCTCTGGTTTACCTGCCACGGTGCCTTCCTTTTCTGGCCTCCTGTGATCCGTCCGCTCGATCACTCTTGGCCTTCCTCTCAAAGATCGCCCAGAATTCTTCTAGTGAAGAACACAATTACATCAGCATACAATTCATTCTCTTCTCAACTTATTTTTCTAAATGCCACAGGCATTTTTTTAAAAATAAAGACCATTGAAACTTCATATCAACTCTCCTTTATTTCAGATTACTTTTTTTATCTGTTCTTTCATTGTTGAGCATGTTTTTCCTATTCATAGACTGAATTTTCTCCTGCTTGATATATAAAGTATAATTACATTAATTATATAATCAATTATATATGTAATTGTTTAAAAAATGAATCTAGAAACAAACACTCTGCTAACAAATCACATCGTTTGTTTCTCCTGCTCTGAATGTTCTGAGGGAGGAGGAATATTGGTATCACAGCTGCTTTTTTAACGTGTGACTGAATCTACGAGTCCATAACCGTACCTCCAGCTAATGTGCTTCTCATTTGGACTTTCTCACGAATGCACACTGCCCATAACCGGACCAGGTTCCATGTGGTTATGTTCCCTTATGCTTCTGTGAAGTATTACCTATAGTTCCGCACCATGCTATGTCCCAATGAAACATATCCTTTATACTTAAAATAAGCCTAGGAAATAATTTCACAATATATTAATATCTGTTTTTCCTGCTCAACAAAATTCTATACAATACCTTCTCCAACTTTTTAGTATCACACAGATGACACAGTCTGGTAGTTAGGAATATAGATGTCTTAAAGGATGTATGGGAATGCATTGTATCTTAAAATCTTTTAAAGCCAGATAATTGATATACTAGTATTTAAGCTGAATTTCTGTTATGGTTATATGAAAAAAAATGTAAGGAAAGTTGTATGAACTGAATTGAATGCTATTTTAGGGGCATACAGGATTTGGTAATTAAAGGTAATTCCAAATAATAGCTAATATGCAATTTATTTTTCACTAACTCAGAATTCTCATAGTAGATTCTATATATATTTATTTACTTTTAAAGCATTATATGGATACAGTTTTTCATGTTTTGTTTTCTCCTTTCTTCTCTCTCTCCCTTTCCGTTCTTCCTCCCTCACCACTCCCTCCTTCTATCCTCTCTCCCCGTCCTCTTTCTTTTCCTCCCCCCTCTCTTCTTCTCATCCTTTTTGACAAAGAAAATCCAGAAAATCCAATCCTTAAATCATCTGCTTGATGAAGGAGGCAAAACAAAGACACCTGGAGATAATGTGATTGATGGACAAAAGCTAAAGCAATGGCTGGGGCTCCTTTTTTTTTTTTTTTAAATTAATGGAAAGAGATACATTAGGGCAGCTGATGTTGCTAAAAGCCCCATATTTGAAATTAGATTCCGTAGGAGGCATAATATATATATTTCTTAAATAATAATGTGGTTGCAGAATTCCAATGTTACAGTGAAGTGTAATGAAAAACATCTTTAGTATGTGCTTTACCAACTGCTGCAGAAGAGACACGGCTGAATCTATTTGTGCAGGAAACCATCCGTTTACTTGTTCTTGAGCTTTAGCATTTAAACCTATACGAAAGCCCACATCCACTGCAAATGCCCTGCTAGAGAATCACTTGGAGGGGCCTGGGAGTCAATTAGGAAGGCATTGTTTCTCACGAATCTCCAAGCCCAACAACCACACTGAAAAGGGCACAAACAGCAGTCTACTATGTTATCAGTCTGACTGTGGTGACCATGTGGCGTACCCGGATATTCTGAAACTTAAATTTGGCAATGGAAATTCCACGAAGATTTCTCATAACTTTTAGCCACAATTACCTTAAAAATAATAGATTCATGATTTCCTTTATTTCCTAGAAAATTTTATTTTATACTTTGTTTACATTTTACATTGTATTTGTCCTTAATTAAAAATGATGAATATAGTTTGAATCAGCTGTTACTCTGAGCTATCATGCTTATGCTATGTCAACAGCCTTTATTTATACTAATGCTAATATTTCCATCACAGTATGC